TAGACCATAACATACAAATCACACCAACACAACACCACGCCCACACTCCAAATGTAACGCCCACCAAGCAGTTCCTCTTCGCTCCATCTCAACCACCTTGTGCCTGCCACGAGTTCACTGAACGGCGAGTGCTGGTCAGTGTGGACAGCGTTAAAAGTGTAAACATGCACCTCTTTGTATGAAGCTTCCTCACTCGGAGCCACGCGAATACTATATAGAGATATTTAAGTGTTAATTACTGCATGTTATCTGTAAATTAATAATATGGGAATTATAATCACTTAAGGTATATTGACAGATACTGATATAGGATTTATAATGACTTCAGGGTGTTTGCAAAGTGATTCAGCGCGCAGCTTAAAAGGAGAGATCGCAGGCGGCCAAAGGCTCTGGAAAGGTGTGGTTTACCCTTGGCGCCGAGACCCAGCGATTATGACTTCGCTCTGGGATTCTCACACGAGCTCTCTGTTGACTCATCCCAATAAGATGATATTTTGTGGTTGTTTTTGATTTGATGCCGAATGTTGGATTCTTTTCTATTCACATCATTTTCTTCTGGTGATATGTTCGATTAGTATCAGGCTGTCGTGAGATTGGAATTTATTAGCATCGTGACTGAGAGTGTATAGTAATCATAAGAAACAACCAAAAATAAAAGAAACACACTAAAAGCAAGTCATGAGAAAGCACGATGACGTTGCATCTTTCCAACTCAGATACACAACGATGCTGATGCAGCTTCTTCCCTCCCATTTCCTCATTATTCCTCCGTGTATTCACCCACCCTTTCTCTCCCTCCAATCACCCAATCTTATTAACATCCCGGCACCTCAGAGCTCAACGTCTTCCACGCAACCTTACCGCACCTGTTGTGATTTTTAACCTCCCTCCCCCCGCGTGTCCCGTCACCTGAACTGATAACCCGTCATCCCGGGTCCTTCGTCCATAACCAAGATGGCGTGTCTGCGGTTCGGAAAAAAAGGAGCATCTGGTTTTTGTCAACTTTTTTTTTGGTTTAAATCTCAGCGTAGGAAGAAAGGCGGACGAAAAAAAAAACTCCCGGCAAGAAATAGTAATAACGTGTCTTAATGGGACGTGATTAAAGCCAACAAAGAGCGGATATATACAAAAAAGAGAGGATTCACTAGTATGACGAGGATGTAGATCAACTCGCAGGATTTTACAACTTTCAAATACAGCTTCGGTTGATATTTTTTTCTCGTATTTATTATCTTCCGTTACATATAAAGATAACGAGATCTGTTCCAAATGTCTCGCGATATAAAGTTACGAATATGATTATCTATCACATATTCTTCGAAAATACATATTACAAGAACAATTACTATAATTATATTGGCAATCAAGAGCACCTAGCATTTAAAATATTAATTAAGTCGTTAAATACCGAGTTCGGACCTTTAAATCTTTGCATAAATTAACCGTCTTACGGACCTTCTTCCTCCCCACTGACCTACTGTGGCTAATTACCTCATTAAGAGGAAGAATCACCGAACCAAAAGGATAATTAACTCTTAAGCAGTTCCATTGGTAAACCGCATTGAGTGTTTGTCATTAACGGATGACGAGGTACCAATAGCATGTAAAGACTACGTGCGGAATCTAGGACTACAAGTATAGTTAAAGTTTAGAAGTTTATTATAGAAACGTTCGTCATACACTTATTAATTTACGCTCGTAATCCGTCGGCCAAACATAGTATTAATTTATGGTTTTCAGCAGTATTAACTGAAATAAAAGAACGAATAAAAATGAAAACATGAAAAGAAATTTGTTTATATACATTTGAACGTCATATAGTTGAGTCACTTAGCATCCCTTATGGTGAGCAAAACCTACAAACGTCTTGTCTCGTATGAAACATCGTGGATTTTAATTCTGCACATCTTGCCACGCTAACATACTCCGGAAGTGCACTTTTTAAGACCTGTGCAATCATATGCTGGTGTTGATATTTATATTTGATGTTCATATTTACATCTGATTACCATAAGACTCCTTTATATAAATATCAAAACGCACAATATGTATAAGAAGGCATCCAGCTTGCTAAAGAAATTAAAAAAAAAAAAAAAAAAAAAAAAAAAAAAAAAAAAAAAAAAAAAAAAAAAAAAAAAAAAAAAAAAAAAAAAAAAAAAAAAAAAAAAAAAAAAAAAAAAAAAAAAAAAAAAAAAAAAAAAAAAAAAAAAAAAAAAAAAAAAAAAAAAAAAAAAAAAAAAAAAAAAAAAAAAAAAAAAAAAAAAAAAAAAAAAAAAAAAAAAAAAAAAAAAAAAAAAAAAAAAAAAAAAAAAAAAAAAAAAAAAAAAAAAAAAAAAAAAAAAAAAAAAAAAAAAAAAAAAAAAAAAAAAAAAAAAAAAAAAAAAAAAAAAAAAAAAAAAAAAAAAAAAAAAAAAAAAAAAAAAAAAAAAAAAAAAAAAAAAAAAAAAAAAAAAAAAAAAAAAAAAAAAAAAAAAAAAAAAAAAAAAAAAAAAAAAAAAAAAAAAAAAAAAAAAAAAAAAAAAAAAAAAAAAAAAAAAAAAAAAAAAAAAAAAAAAAAAAAAAAAAAAAAAAAAAAAAAAAAAAAAAAAAAAAAAAAAAAAAAAAAAAAAAAAAAAAAAAAAAAAAAAAAAAAAAAAAAAAAAAAAAAAAAAAAAAAAAAAAAAAAAAAAAAAAAAAAAAAAAAAAAAAAAAAAAAAAAAAAAAAAAAAAAAAAAAAAAAAAAAAAAAAAAAAAAAAAAAAAAAAAAAAAAAAAAAAAAAAAAAAAAAAAAAAAAAAAAAAAAAAAAAAAAAAAAAAAAAAAAAAAAAAAAAAAAAAAAAAAAAAAAAAAAAAAAAAAAAAAAAAAAAAAAAAAAAAAAAAAAAAAAAAAAAAAAAAAAAAAAAAAAAAAAAAAAAAAAAAAAAAAAAAAAAAAAAAAAAAAAAAAAAAAAAAAAAAAAAAAAAAAAAAAAAAAAAAAAAAAAAAAAAAAAAAAAAAAAAAAAAAAAAAAAAAAAAAAAAAAAAAAAAAAAAAAAAAAAAAAAAAAAAAAAAAAAAAAAAAAAAAAAAAAAAAAAAAAAAAAAAAAAAAAAAAAAAAAAAAAAAAAAAAAAAAAAAAAAAAAAAAAAAAAAAAAAAAAAAAAAAAAAAAAAAAAAAAAAAAAAAAAAAAAAAAAAAAAAAAAAAAAAAAAAAAAAAAAAAAAAAAAAAAAAAAAAAAAAAAAAAAAAAAAAAAAAAAAAAAAAAAAAAAAAAAAAAAAAAAAAAAAAAAAAAAAAAAAAAAAAAAAAAAAAAAAAAAAAAAAAAAAAAAAAAAAAAAAAAAAAAAAAAAAAAAAAAAAAAAAAAAAAAAAAAAAAAAAAAAAAAAAAAAAAAAAAAAAAAAAAAAAAAAAAAAAAAAAAAAAAAAAAAAAAAAAAAAAAAAAAAAAAAAAAAAAAAAAAAAAAAAAAAAAAAAAAAAAAAAAAAAAAAAAAAAAAAAAAAAAAAAAAAAAAAAAAAAAAAAAAAAAAAAAAAAAAAAAAAAAAAAAAAAAAAAAAAAAAAAAAAAAAAAAAAAAAAAAAAAAAAAAAAAAAAAAAAAAAAAAAAAAAAAAAAAAAAAAAAAAAAAAAAAAAAAAAAAAAAAAAAAAAAAAAAAAAAAAAAAAAAAAAAAAGATGAGTCATGATGGGTAAGGAAGGGTAAAATAAGATTCAGAAGTAACAACCTGTCCATCGAAATCGAACCGAAGCACCAGACGCGTCTCACAGGTAGGTCGAAACAGGTCATTTCCGATCCCTAAGTGGGTCGCAGGAAGTAGGACCTTTATAAGGAAGGTATTAAAGGAGGTGATGAGAAGGGGGGGGGCCGGATCTTGAGACTCCTTAACAACAGGATGCGCAAAGAGAGGAGAGGGAGGAAGAGTGGAAAATGAGTGAAAGAGAGAAACAAAAATGGCCTGAAGGAAGAGTTTCAATATCCTGAGTTATTCAACTCTAAATGGCCACAAAGTCTTGCAAATTTCTCGCGTCACTGAGACGGAACTGTCATGGAAGAAAATAACGCGCTGTCATTCTCCCTGTCTATCAAAATTACATCTATTTCCTTCCTGCCATTCTTCTGTCCTCTCTTTCCTTTCTTCTCTTCCTCTTCTTCGTGCCGTTTAATTTCGACAAGGAAATTATTGTCTTTGAGTTTTCTAGTGTAAAAATCATGCGAAATAGATCTACATTTACGAAAAGAAATTGTTGTTATGACTATTTCTGACTGAAATAACTATAATTGGAAATGTAGTTGAAACGTTTATAGTTATATGAAGTATGTCGGAGATTCTAATAGGCATATATGTCAGACAATAAAGGCAGCGTTTTGAGGAAGTGCACAGCCTATTCACCCAAGGAATGGTAGGCGCGACAGGCTAATCGGAAGTTGGTGCAGCAGCGGCGGCGTGAGATGCGGGTGGCGGCGGCGGTAGCGGTTTTGGCAGCGGCGGCCGGGCGTTAGTTTTAGCGTAGCGGCGTCGCACCTGAAAGAGGGGGAAGTGAGGGGGGGGGGGGGGAGATGGGAGGAGACGGAAGTGCACATGGACGACGCAGATGATGGCGCACCTGAACCGCCACAATTTTCTCCTCCGTCCGCGCGCTGAGGAAGCCGCGGAAGGAAGCCTAGCGCGGGAGAGCGAGAGGATCTTCAAGGCCGGTGTATGAAGAAAAATTGTCCCTCCGCTGTCATTACACGTCAGGGCAGGAAACCACACACATATACGCACTCGTGAACACGCAAGAACACATGAAGATGGGCAGGAAGCTCGCACAAAGGAAAGGGGAGAGGAAGGCAGAGAAAGAGGGGAGGGAAGAAAGAGGAAGTAGGGGGGGGGAGGAAGAGGGATAGAGGAAGGGGCAGTGTGTGTGTGTGTGTGTGTGTGTGTGTGTGTGTGTGTGTGTGTGTGTGTGTGTGTGTGTGTGTGTGTGTGTGTGTGTGTGTGTGCGTGCGTGTGTGTGCACGTGTAAAGGCACGCCTGAAACAAAACGAAATCGGCCCAACTCACTTTCTTGAATTGGAGCATATCGAGCGCCACTTGTCCTTGTAGTACATCTGGAGCCTCCCCTGCAGAGGCGTGGGGCCGTCGACCAGCCTGAGGCCCGTCTCCCTGAGAGGGGCGCCCGGAGGCTGGCTGCTGGTCAGCTTAATCCTATTCGTCGGGGTGCCCTGGGGAACGGCAGAGAAGAATCGTTAAAAACAAATCAAAACAAAACAGGAAAAGAGAGATTGGCTTCAGTGTAAAAGAAAAAAATATATATGTAATGAAATATCCGTGAAACTCATTCAAATGTTGAGTTACTGAGAAAGGTTATTGTGATAAATATAGACACTAAGATTAAGATTAAGAACGAGATTTAAATATTGCGGAGTATATTGTTAAAATTTCTGTCAAGTATGTCCATCACACGTAACAGTATGGATTACGAAATTATACATATACACATTCTCACTCATATCTTTACTACCTAAGAAGATGAATTAACCTAAAAATCTATTTCTCAAGAGCCGCGGCCATTTCTTCTCATCATAACGTAAAGTAAAAGAAGAAACACTGAAAGACACATAACGAGGATCTTAAAAGTCGCGGATTCTTAAAACATTACGTAAGAATGAAGAAAAACATGGGGGGGGGAGAGAGGGGAGAGAGGGAGAGAGAGAGAGAGAGAGAGAGAGAGAGAGAGAGAGAGAGAGAGAGAGAGAGAGAGAGAGAGAGAGAGAGAGAGAGAGAGAGAGAGAGAGAGAGAGAGAGAGAGAGGAGAGAGAGAGAGGGAGAGAGAGAGAGAGAGAGAGAGAGAGAGAGAGAGAGAGAGAGAGAGGAGAGAGAGAGAGAGAGAGAGAGAGAGAGAGAGGGAGAGAGGGAGAGAGAGAGGGAGAGAGAGAGAGAGAGAGAGAGAGAGAGAGAGAGAGAGAGAGAGGAGAGAGAGAGAGAGAGAGAGAGGGAGAGAGAGAGAGGGAGAGAGAGAGGGAGAGAGAGAGAGAGAGAGAGAGAGAGAGAGAGAGAGAGAGAGAGAGAGAGAGAGAGAGAGAGAGAGAGAGAGAGAGGGAGAGAGAGAGAGGGAGAGAGAGAGGGAGAGAGAGAGAGAGAGAGAGAGAGAGAGAGAGAGAGAGAGAGAGAGAGAGAGAGAGAGAGAGAGAGAGAGAGAGAGAAGAGAGAGAGAGAGGAGAGAGAGAGAGAGGGAGAGAGAGAGGGAGAGAGAGAGAGAGAGAGAGAGAGAGAGAGAGAGAGAGAGAGAGAGAGAGAGAGAGAGAGAGAGAGAGAGAGAGAGAGAGGAGAGAGAGAGAGAGAGAGAGAGAGAGAGAGGAGAGAGAGAGAGGGAGAGAGAGAGAGGAGAGAGAGAGAGAGAGAGGAGAGAGAGAGAGAGAGAGAGAGAGAGGAGAGAGAGAGAGAGAGAGAGAGGAGAGAGAGAGAGGGAGAGAGAGAGAGGAGAGAGAGAGAGAGAGAGAGAGAGAGAGAGAGAGAGAGAGAGAGAGAGAGAGAGAGAGAGAGAGAGAGAGAGAGAGAGGAGAGAGAGAGAGGAGAGAGAGAGGGAGAGAGAGAGAGAGAGAGAGAGAGAGAGAGAGAGAGAGAGAGAGAGAGGAGAGAGAGAGAGAGGAGAGAGAGAGAGGGAGAGAGAGAGAGGAGAGAGAGAGAGAGGAGAGAGAGAGAGAGAGAGAGAGAGAGAGAGAGAGAGAGAGAGAGAGAGAGAGAGAGAGAGAGAGAGAGGAGAGAGAGAGAGGAGAGAGAGAGGAGAGAGAGAGAGAGAGGAGAGAGAGAGGGATAGAGAGAAAGAGAGAGAGAGAGAGAGAGAGAGAGAGAGAGAGAGAGAGAGAGAGAGAGAGAGGGAGAGAGAGAGAGAGAGAGAGAGAGAGAGAGAGAGAGAGAGAGAGAGAGAGAGAGAGAGAGAGAGAGAGAGAGAGAGAGAGAGAGAGAGAGGGAGAGAGAGAGAGGAGAGAGAGAGAGAGGAGAGAGAGAGAGAGAGAGAGAGAGAGAGAGAGAGAGAGAGAGAGAGAGAGAGAGAGAGAGAGAGAGAGAGAAAGAGAGAAAGAGAGAGAGAATGGAGAGGCAGAAAGAGAAAGAGAGAGAGGCAGAGAAGCAAAGAGAAATAGAAAAGGAGAAGGAGAAAAGAGAAAGAAAATGAAAAAAGAAAATAGGAGAACAGAGGGAGAGGACAAAGGCGATAAAAAGGAGAGGGTGAAACGAGAAATAAAAGAAGATAAGAGAGGGAGGGGTTGATTTTTGAAGTGGCAATAAAAACACTCAAGAAACAGGAACTAGGAGAAAGATAGCGATGAGAAAACGAAATACGAGGACGAAATGCGAAGCGAAGAAGGAAGGGAGAAGGCGAAAAGAGGATCAGTGATAACGAGGGGAAAGGAAAGCGAATATGGGGCAAAGATAAAAAAAGTAAATAAATCATCAAAAATATGAAAACAAATTGAATAAATGACAAAGGGAATAAACGAAAAAAAAACGCCAAAAATACATCGCCATCACCATAATCATAAAAGGATAAAAAATAACTTAATAATACAAAAATAACAGAAAACAGATTTTTTTTTCAAATTCAGCGAACGAGAGATGGATAAAACAAACAAACAAAAACAAGAATAACAACCCTTTCCCGCTCACCTTCCCAGGATCGAGCTAAGCTGAGGGCGGAACATAAGCCTCCGCTGACCAACTAAAACCCGATAGAATCTGCTTTTTCGAGCTCGAGCCGAATAGAAGAATTCTCCGATTTCCCCCATTCCCATCTACCCACGGAAGGCGATTCTCGTTCCATGGTCCGATGTTAGGAACTTTCTATAGCGTTGTGCCTTGATTTAGTCCGATAATTAAGACAAGACGAGACTTAGTCACTCCGCAAACATTATGCTTTTACTGTTGTACGTATTCACACACTCTGCTTTGGTGTATGTACTCGGGGCGCATATAAGGACATTAGACTACCCCCACGAAGGCCCACAACTTCGCTTGATATCGAGCTCTGCGGGGCTTCACACTGCAAGGGGGGGGGGGGGCGAGGGCGACGTTAGGGCAAGGACTTCGAGGAGCTTTGGAAGAGGTGCGCTTGCGGTGGCGACGGAAGGGGCGCCTGCCCACCCTGCGGCTGCCTTGCGGGGGATTAGGGGGAATTATGCAGGGAAGATGATATTGGATCCGCCATTGATCCGGCAGGGTGGACAATCATCACGCACACACGGAAACATGCTCAAATACGCGGTAACACACATACATAACACACACACACACATATATATATATAGAGAGAGAAATTTAAAATACTAAAATATTGCAACATTTTTGTGCAGTGAATCCACACAGACATAAAATATATATGTATTAATGAAGAAAAAAAAAACACGTTAAAGAACGCGAACAGTAAAAAGACAATTGAACGTACGAATCCAGGGCCCTGTTATCTCATGACTCACGCAGACAACAAACATGCCAAACATAAGCCATTCCCACACCGCCCTTCCGGCTCTCCTCGAAACTATGTGGAGGGAAGAGGGGAAAGAAGCAGGGAAAAAAGGGATTGAGGTGAGAAGAGGAGGAGAGGAGAGAAACAGAAAGATGAAAGAGAGGGAAGGGGAGAGGGAAAACATTATCGAAAGAGAAGGGAAAAAGGAAATGAAAGACTAGAAAAGAAGGGGAGAAAAGAAATGGAAAAGGGATGGGAAGGGAAGGGAAGCGAAGCGAGAAGAGGAGGAAGGTATTTTCATAATCATCACCGTTATTATTATTCGAATCATGATACTATAAATATCATTACGTTTATCATCCATCATATCTGATAAAGCCTCTTTTAAACATGGACTTTCACAGTTGCTGTTATCATTATTATCACAAGAAACAGTAATAGTACTGTATCGGTAAATATCAGTAATACTACTATTATTATTATCATATTAATCATTGCTATTTGTCATTGTTACAACTGCGATTATTATAACAACTGTTAGTAATGTTGTTTTCATTATATAATTGCTATTTGCGTTACCATTATTATATCTTTTGCCATGATTAACACTGACATCATTCCAATGGATTTCGTTGGTTCTTGATGACCAGAGCTTTGGTAACACTTCTTTCAAGCTCCCTTATCTTATCTTTTACATGACGAGACAAGGCTTCTTTATCTCTAAACATACCATTAAGGCGAATATCCAAACGCATTTCCTCTATAAACTCGCCTTTGTGTCTTTTAGTCCAACATTATCATTATCGGTGTTATCAGCAAGACCCGGACATGGAGAGCGAATAGGTGGACCGCGACGCCAAGATAAGGAACTCATTTGGAATATGTTTACCATAATTCCGTATCAGCCAACTATATCTATATATTTTTTTCTATTGATGAAGTAGATACAAAAGGAAATAAATAAAAAAGAGAAAAAAAGAAACTATATATACATATATATACGTATGTGTATATATACATATCTATGTATAGAGATATGTATATGTATATATACATACATATATATATATATATATATATATATATATATATATATATATATATATATATATATATATATATATATATATAACCTGCAATTTGCATTTTAAATCATTCACAGCAAGTCTATGAATGAAAATGTTATAGTATACAAAGTCACAACTCCAATCCACAATGGAGTAGTAAATAGCAGATGACACGCCCACCAGCCGTCATCTGTGTCCAGGTAATTCTCCATTCCTAAGTATTCATAATAATAAGCAACCAAGGCTATTCCTCTCCTCCCCTTCCGGCCAGGACTCGCGCAGGTAGGCCTAGGTTCCGGTCCGGACGCGAGAGTGCAGAGCCGCCCCTACCTGCCCCCCCCCCTCACCCACCCCCGCCCACCTCCCTGCCGCGTTCCGCATATCACCCCCGATAAGCTGCGCCGTGTTGTTCGCGCAATAACAGCGGCGTCGTAATACCTGCCTCGGTCTCATGTTGCGGGAGGCGTTGCGTCACGCTTTATCTTTGTGAAGCAACGCATGACCCTGCAACCGGTCTGTCGGGACGTGTTCGGGCGGCGTCGGGCTCGCCGGGCATACACTATGGGCGCGGCGGCCTCTTGCGGAACAAGGCGAGGCACTGGTGGGCGGGTAAATATATAGTGTCTAGCTATTTACTTATCTATATACCTATCTACTTATCTATTTATCTATCTACTTATCTATTTATTTATCT